CAAGATTCTGAGTGCCAGTGGCCATGGGCAGTTAAGTGGCTGCTGAGGAGATAGATACATATATAAGAGATATGTCTATACATAAGTAATAAAATTGGGTCATGCATGTGTTCTGTCTACTCATTTTTATTTCACATCAATCATTTTTCCATGTCTATGTTCTACAACATGGTTAGTAATTGCACAGTATTCCACTCCATACTATAGCTATATCATCAGTCCTTTATTGTTGGCTAGTCATATCTTTTTTTCTTCTATAGGTGCTTGTAGCAAATATTTTTATACATAAATTATTTTGTACAATTTTGGTTTCCCGTAAGTGGAACTCAGGTCAAAGGCTATGAACATTTAGACATTTTGATTACTCCCCTAAATACTGCGCTTCCCCAGAGGTTAGTGTGTGCATTTTCTTGTGCTGATGTCAATGGTGAAATCTGTCAATTCGATAGGTAAAAAATTAATACTTTTTTTGGTTAGGTACTGGTTTTTGTGACTACTCGTTTTGGGGTAGTAATTTTTCACTAATTTGTAAGCTCTTTTATTAGGTTATTCTAGACATCTTTTCAGTTCATCACTTTTTAACTAGGCAGGATGATCGATTTTTCATTATATTTCAATTAATTTTCTGCTAAGAAAGGACTTCCTGAATGTATAATTAGGCTACTTTATCTTGAAATTGTTTAAATGAGGCTACTTATCTTGAAATTTAAATTATGCAGGTTATTGGGGTCAGAGATTCAGTTGAAATACTTGTATGTGGCTAATGGCCAAATCTAGTTTAAAGCAAAAAAAAAAAAAAAAAAAAAAACCATTTTGGTCAGTAGAATATAGCCTTGGATGAAAATAAGACAGCTGTACTCAGGATTTGTTTTTCAACACCCACAGTTCAAGTTAAGTTATAAACATAACCTGGATAAACAAGTTGAGCGAAGACAGTACTTTCTACTTAATACTTTTTGGTTGCGTGTTGTAGAGGTTTAGTGGAATTTTCAGTTTAACGATTTTGTTTCCACTTAAGTCTTCCTGTCTCAAATTATTTCCTTTCACAGAAATGAATACCTCATTTGAATGAATTCCTCATCTCCTAAGTCCTTGTTCATTTAGAAGCCAACCTTTTTAATAAAGATGTCATTTTACACTGAAATTCATATCTGGTGTAACTGCAATATTCTATTCAATGTTAACAGGCAAAAATAGATCTCTCTTAAGAAAAAGACAAGTGATTCTCAGGTTGTAAGCAAAACCAGATGTAGTTGAAGGAAGATAAAAGTCCTGTGTCACTTTTGTCCCTGCTCCTACACATTCATTCTCTGGTGGGAATGTTCCTATTTTTCCCCTGCATTCAAATTTCTCAATCCCTGTCCATTACCAATTAAAAAAACCAAGGCAATATAGTATCTTTCTTCTTTGGAAAATAGGCAAGTGAGTAGCAAGTTGGTTGGACAGGGCTGTGTGGAGAAATGATGAGATTGAGTTGGTTTGATTTGTGCAGGGAGCAGGATATTAGGGAGAAAGGGACAATCTTAAACTTTGGGTACCCCAACCCTCTACAATAGATGTTAGCAACAGAGCCAACACTTCTCTCCTTAACCATACGTGATTGACTAATATAACCTACGCCCAATAATTGATGTATGTAAACATTCCACATTGCAATAAAAGATTAGTGTGTGGGTGCATTTTAATGACAATCAGGATACTATTTTGACACCTTGTCAAATTGTTTTGAACAGTTGTACAAATCTTCCATACTGTAATACAGTGTATCTGTTGGATCAACCAAAACCCACTAGGTAAATACTGTGCCATAACTGCATTCTTTAAATCAATCTTGGAAATGTAAGATTAGAGGCCAGAAAGTTATGATTAGAGAATGATGGATGGGTGGTAAAAGCGTTGATGCTTCCCTCTTAAATTGTTTTGGTTTGTCATCTTATTGACTTATTCTCTGCATATTGGTAAAAATGAGCGATATTAGAGATCGCATTAAGTGGCAGCTGAAGAGAATTGAAGAGTTTAAAAGCTGGTATTTTTTAATTGGTCGGTCTAACCGAATCCTACCATTGATTAGTTGTGGAGGCTTGAGCAAACTACTTCGATCATGAGTAGCCTAATCTGTAAAAAGGGGACTCAATTGAAAAATTATCATCAGAACCACAAGATTTGCCCCCGAATCTTCATGCACCTATCTCAACCTTCAGGGCAGCTGCCCAGCTGGTGCCACTCACACTGACCCGCGTCTGTGCCCCTCACAATGACACCCACCGTGGCCCCGCCTCCCACCTGCCGCGG